GTTTTACAACTGGGTGCACTGCTGGGTCCAGTTTCATTGAAAATGTTATTGGACGCTTACAAATCTCATCCTTGAAAAGGTCGGAATATTCGAAATAAATTTGGCTTGCAAAACTTTAAACTTTAAGATCAACTGAGTATCAATTGATGTGCACAGTAAAGCAAAATATCTGTAGATTGTCACTGTATCTCAGGCTCATTCTGTCTCTTTCCAGATGTGATGCATGAGAATTTTGTCATTAATGTCTTTTTATTTGCAGTTTTCAATGCAATACCACTTTTGAAAGTTTTCTTCGCCACATCAAGACATCCTTTTATGGAGAAGACTTATTAAATGTATTCAGTGTTTTTTTTGTTTTTGTTTTGCAGGGCAAGGAGGTTTGGACCCCAGTGTGGTGACCAAGTCCATTCTAGAGGGAGTAAAGGATAGTATACAAGGAGTGAATCTTCCACATCTCAAAGCTATTCACATCATTCTGCAGAAGCTTAATGTTTTCCTGGTGTTCAAAGCAATGGCACAGCAAATCTGTGTTAATACACAGTTAACAGGTGAAGAAAAGTCTGTGACATGCAGAGACAAGCCTCCTTCTGAGGCTACAGTTCGGAGAGAAATGCAGCCTTACTAGGACACATCTTTTCGATTGAGAAGCACCCACTTACAGTTAGTTTTTTTTTTGCTCATGCACCACTTGTACCTACCAGTGCAACCACCAGATGGCACAGTGTAACCAGTAGTGGACACATGGGTTCGGGGCAAAAACAAAAGTGTTGCGTTTATAATTTTGTTCAGTGTAGATGCAGACCGCATTCTTTACCAGGCTGACAGAGAACAAAGCAGCATTGCTAATTATTGGTCACACCAATAATGATGTTTCTGATGTGTGCAGAGAACTTCAGCAGGCATATGAGATGTGACAGCCAGTGCTCCACACACACTTTCTTTCCTGATGAGATTGAACGCCTCACTCAATTCACTGCACCTGCAGGTTGAACCAAGCAGTTCTGAAGAATAGGTAGTAAAATGACTGAAGAAAATACATTTGTGTGTGTGTGTGTGTATGTGTAATTTGAGTCAGCTGTGCTCCAGTCCAGGCCACCGTACTTCTCCTACAGACTCTTCCTTAATTAATGGCATTAAGTCAATCGATCAGACCATTTAGGAGACAGCTGGAGCTAAATCCCCTGCTACCTAATGGAGGCTGCAGGACGAAGCGGGATTGTGTGTACCAGGACTGTAAGCTAATTTGCTCTAGCCAGTGATCAACTATAAGAATTTTTTTCAGCTGCCCTATAGTTGGCATAAAAAACATGTACATGATCAATGAGTGTAAAATGCGGCGAGACCCCCAAACTCTCACACTGACCCCAAGCCAGCAGGCTGTCGTTATTGTTGACCCATGTTAGCGTTTGGATTGTTTTCCCCACATTGTTATAAATGTTTCTCCTTCTCCTTTGCTCTTTTTCTCTCTTTCTTTCTTGCTTGGCAGAGTATAAACCGGGATAAAACCTTCCAGACGGACAGCGACGGCAATCAGGTGTTTAAAGGACACAGGTGAGGTTGTCTGCACTTTTTTTTTTGTGACCCATGTTAGGTCATGCGTTTTTGTGCCAGAGCCCAAAATGCAGTCAGTGAAATGAAAGAAAGAAAGGTGAATGTTTCTGGCTTCTGCTCTGGAACAAACTCATTTTGGATTCAATTCCATCTGTCTGTGCTTTGTGCAGAAGCTCTGCCTGTGAAGCGGTGCAGGCAGGAGGTGTAATCAAAGCCTCCATTTGCTGTGGTGTTTTCAGGTCACACAGCGCGAATCACAGAATTGGCGGGTGCTGGTGGCAGAAAGAGCGTCATTTTGGCATTGTACTGTAACAAACTTGTTAATTTATGTGACATCTTAATGTGGCTTGAGATCTTAATGTGGCTTTGACTTAATCTATTTACTCTATACAATATTATCTTTTGTGGGTTTTTTGATTATTATATAAAATGTATAAAAATAGTGTCAGTAAAGACATTAATTTGACAAAAATGGCAAATAAATCTCTAAAACAAAAACAAATCTCAAATAAATGCTTTTCTCTTGAACTTTATTTATCAGAGAATCTTAAAAAATATCATAGATCTTTTATAAATAGAATGTGTATATGTATATAGGATGTTTATATATATATATATGCACACACACACATACATGTTTATATATTTATGTGAATAAAATATATGTGTGTGTGTGTGTGTGTATATATATATATATATATATATATATATATATATGTGTGTGTATGTGTGTGTGTGTGTGTGTGTGTGTAATGGAAATAATTGCATAAATGTGCAGTTTTAGCAAAGCCTAGTAGACATATTTTCTGCTCTCAAACTCTAAAGAAAGGGAGAACAGGCATTCCTCTTCACTCAAGTCATGTGTTGCATTCTGGGACCACGGGGCATTTGGCAGAAGGTAAAAGAAGTCAATCATAAACTTGAGACAGCAGATGTGAAAGATGGACTGAACTTGAGAAGGATGGAGGCCACAGTTTGTGATTCAGGACAAGTGACCCCTCTCGAGCGATTGGAGAACCTTTCAGAAAAGTCACTTTAGTGCAACCTAGACCCGTAGTTTTAGACCTGGAAGTTTATCACCCTGGTTTCCTCAAAAAAAAAACAAAAAAAAAAAGAGGATTTTTCTATTGTTTTTTGGGTTATTGCAGAAAATAATCTCAGTGACCAACAAAAATTTAGGATTTGAACATGTTTTGCTTGTCATGATAATCTTCACAAAAGTTAGGCTATAAAAGAACTATACCACTGTCACAAACTTAAACGTCTCCACCATTAAGCTTCTGACAACTTTCAGTCTTTATTTACAAAAAACATTTGCAAGAGGGTTCATGTTTGAACCCTATTTTTTAGACTTAAACTATATATTTGATTAATTTAAGTACAGCCTGTTAGTTGCAGTGGTTAGTCTACAACAACACATTGTAATTTTTAGGTTTTTAGAGTTTAGTTTTTATTTTGTGTGGCAATATGAAGAACAATGTGAATTTGAAGTCCATATTGGCAATTTGTGTGCAAATGTTTTACAACAGATCACGTCATTATACCTTTCTCAGCCACCGTCTACGGTCATGAGACATACTTTACTGTGAATGGCAACCTCACTGCCAGTCCTACCTACGCGGTTCCTGCTGCAGGTATCACACTCATGGTCAGGATTTATAATTAATAATTGAAATAATTTAGATAACACATTTATTCAGTTAAACAGTGAATGCAATCATCGTACAGACAAAAGTGCACTAGTGCACAAAAGTGACAACTAGTGGGCAGTATATGAATGTTCTAATGGCCAATATAATTCAGAGTTTTACATAATTTAAAGGGGTCATATGATGCGATTTCAAGTTTTCCTTTCTCTTTGGAGTGTTACAAGCTCTTGGTGCATAAATAAGTTCTGTAAAGTTGCAAAGACTAAAGTCTCAAATCCAAGGAGATATTCTTTATAAAAGTTAAGAGTCAGCTACACCTACCTAAAACGGCTCGTTCTAACATGCCCCCACATATCTACGTCACTATGTGGACATATTACCATAATGTCGCCCAAATGTGCACGCAAAGAAAGAAGACATACACCAAATACACAAAATAATGATCTTTAAATAGCATCATATGACCCCTTTAATGATAACTGAAAATTTCTCAATTTAGTAAAACAGAAATATTACTTTTTTATTATTATTATTGTTCAAAGTTATCAGTTGAAGTTGTCAGTGGATTGTGGAACTGATACACAAGTGAATTAATTCTTTTTTTTTTAAAGCGGTCATATTGCCTAGTTAATTGGCCAATTAATCTGTCTATTGCTTGCACAAATCACCAAAGTATGCAAAAAATACATTTATACTCTCAAAAATAAGTCTTCCAAAAGATGCTTTCCACAGTAATGCCATAGAAGAACCATTTTTGGTTCCCTAATAAACCTTTCAGTGAAAAGTTCTTAAATAAACATTATTTTCTTAGTGTAAAAAAAACAATTTAATAATCTAAGGAAACTTTTTTGTTATAAAGAACTTTTTGTGGAATGTAAAGGTTCCATGGATGTTGAAGGTCCTCATGAAAGCATCACTGCCAATGAATAACTTTTTGATGTTGTGTTGAGATGCATTTGCTTGATTTTGAATGTTGTGCCCATCAGTTGTTCCGCCTTCTCCAACCACCATGATGCGAAAATATATACGTGGCACTTTAACTTCCCTTTCAGCTTGGCCAAACTTGCAACCAACCCCCCACCCATGTTCTGTGCATTTGCTGTTCATTGTTTTTTTTTTTGCTGTATTATGACAAGCCTTCCAAGCAGTCCTTAAAGGGGAGGTCTAATGCGGTTTCATGGATTCTAACTTATTTACACTGTTAAAGAGTTGGATTCTCATGCTAAACATGGGCAAAGTTTAAAAGAACGAGTTAGACGTATGACGGAGTATTTCTGTGCCAAATACATTCCTTCAGAGTTCGTATAAGTTTCGGAAAACATTTTTTATTTTTTATGTATGTCTCTGTATGACGTCATAAAGGGTGAAATTTCTTGTATGGGCAGTTGGGCACTTCTCCCGCGCACACATCAACCAGAGGAAGAGCAAGAGCACACCCAGCATCTGATAAAACTAAAGACTCCTCGGAGATATGAAGGATGCAATACTTCTCTCTAGGTACTCAAGATTAACATGAGATTGGCAGAAACTGTTATGTTATGTCCCCTTTAAACATCACCCAAGTCACTGTCTCCCTCACTTGCATCTTTCTTCATACTGTAATCTTCAGTTACCAAGTATCTCACCAAGTATGACACTCATGTCTTGAGCAAATGCTGGCATAGTAGAGAATTGCCACTCAGATTTTGTACTGTTATTTTAACGTAATTTTAAATAATTCTATTTGTGCCACTTAAATAGTCTCACGGCATCAAGAGGAAGCTGGAGGAGTGGCCATGGAAAGCAAAAGTGAAAGCATCAGAGCACCTGTATTTATGTCGAAGCTCAACAAAACAACAGACTAAAGATGGAGAACTACAAGTACGCTGTGTTTTTTGAGGCAGAGAATCTCTCTGATGCAGAACTAAGACAAATGGAAAAGTATTTTAAAATCAAGAGAAGGTCTGGAGGGGGAGAGTGTAAGATCAACAAAGTGGGTGACACTACTTGCATGATAAGTTTTATGGAAAAAGAAGGTAAGGATGTTTTATTTATTTTGCACCGTTATAATCAATGCCATTTTTTATCTTAATTAAGCTTTTCATTAAGCAAAACAAATTTAATATTTGATTTATAATGACAACACTTTATACTCATCAATATGTATTTGTATTCAAAGCCCAGGAAAGAGTACTCGAACGAAAGGATCACGTCATTAAAATAGAAGGACAAGAGGAGATCCATGTTTTATTGAGGTGTGAAAATGTTGCTGAAAGCAGCAAACGATCTAAAGAATCTCCAAATCAGGTAAGTGGCACAAAACAAACGGCTATTTTGCTTCTATTTATATACGTGCTGTACCTTGTTTCCTGCTTGTACAAGATGGTCGAACCAGTTTTTCCAGAAGCAAAGAGAGAAACTCTCTGCGTAGTTAAAGTAAATACCTTGAATACAGTAGTTCTCTGAAATTACCTGCTAGTGCTTGACAATAAGGAAGGTCTGGGGAAAGGCTGGGCAATAAAATATATCATATCAAGATTGCAATAAAATTTGTCAATAACAACTGTGGCCGGTGCCTTTTAGTACACCCAGCTATGTACAGATGTATAACTGAACTATGAGTAACTGGAATAATATGAAGGCATGCAACAAGCCAATAAAGATATTACCCTACTTTATATCCTAATTAAAGGACAAAGGTGGGTGCTGGTGTATAGAAACACATAACTTTATTTCTTGTTACGCATCCGTATACATATACAGGTGCATCTCAATAAATTAGAATTTGTTAAATGTGAGCCAAAATCATCACAATTAAAAGAACCAAAGACTTAAACTACTTCAGTCTGTGTGCATTGAATTTATTTAATACACGAGTTTCACAATTTGAGTTGAATTACTGAAATAAATGAACTTTTCCACGACATTCTAATTTATTGAGATGCACCTGTATAAATACTAATAATTTCACTCCAAGCAAGACAGATTAAAAGGACATAAAGAAATGCACACAGGCAAGGCAAGTTGTAAACCCTATAAATACTAAAAACACAAAAACAATGCACACAATACTCCCCTTTACACAAGCAAGTAATCATACCATAAATTCATCAATCACCTTAACGTGATACACTGCAATCAGAACAGTTCTGTGATCATCTTTAAGGGAATTATTGCACGTTGCACAATACTATTGCATTAAAAGGGACCCTGGAGTATAAATATAGTTGTTACCATCAATGAACAGACAAAACAATATGAAATAAAAAAAAAATACAATTTGAAAATTCACAAGAAAATAAAATACAATACCAAGGAAAACAAATTTCAAAGAATATGTGACCCTGGACCACAAAACCAGTCATAAAGGTAAATTTTTTGAAAATGAGATTTAGACATCATCTGAAAGCTGAATAAATAAGCTTTCCATTGATGTATGGTTTGTTAGGATAGGACAATATTTGGCTGAGATACAACTATTTGAAAATCTGGAATCTGAGGGTGCAAAAAAATCAAAATATTGAGAAAATCGCCTTTAAAGTTGTCCAAATGAAGTTCTTAGGAATGCATATTACTAATCAAAAATTAAGTTTTAATATATTTACAGTAGGGAATTTACAAAATATCTTCATGGAACATGATCTTTCCTTAATATCCTAATGATTTTTGGCATAAAAGAAAAATCAATCATTTTGACCCATACAATGTATTTTTCGCTATTGCTACAAATATACCCCAGCGACTTAAGACTGGTTTTGTGCTCCAGGGTCACATATACGCAAAAAAAAAAAGAGAATCTTTCCCCACCCCCCACCCCCGTGTCCCGCAATGAGCCTGCAAATATGGAAGTAAAAGAAAACATTGTCTGACAAACTCCCCTACAAATTAACAGAAAAAATCATGAGAACAAAAGTGGCAGACATGTTACTTACTTGTTCAAATGACAATATCCGGTGATAATTCTTATTTGGGTCATACTTAAGACGTAGAACCTGTGATTCCGAAGTACAGTATCCACACCAGTGTAGTGACTGACAGCATCAAAACATTAGATTAATCTGCGCTGAGGAGCCGTGCCGATGCACAACCCACGTAAAGATGATAATTCCGCAAATAACTGCAATTGCACATTTCAAACAGAGATGGTGACAAAGAGGTCAAAAACTTACTGACTGCACCTTTAAATAAACAAACCAATTTTCTGGGTAAAATTAACCCAACATATGTTCTGTCCTATATTTACCCAGCCCTTGTTTTTAACCCAGTGTTTTTTAGAATGTAGCATGAACAGTTTTTGATTTAAATTAGATTGTATAAATTCGAAATTTTGAGCAAAAACAGAATGGGTTAACTTTAGGTTTGTGAAACTATAGTACTTAAAACAGAACTGAACAAAACAAAACCAGCAGAACGTCTGAATGAGAACGCAAATTCACTCTCTGACAGCAGGTGGCGCGTATGTTACACTAGCGTTTTCTTTCCTAAGTATCGATTATTTAATCATAGATTTGCATATATCTATGTCTTTGATCTGAGCATCCTTAGTCTGCACTTTTTTGAACATTCTAGGTTAAAAATACCTTTTTGACCCCTTCTGAGGTCATTACATTAAACATTTGCATCACATCTTTAAATGTTTTCTCTCTCTCTTTTTTTTATTTTTTTTAGAAATGTGCAAGTGCAAAAAGTGTAGAAAAGGTTTTTAAACTGGACCATTATTTACTACGCTTCCTCAGTGAATGTAAAAAGCCACATTCAGATTTGGAAAAACATCTCTCTATGATCTCCAGCACCTTCAAGATCAACATTGAGTCTGAAGAGTTGGTGGTGGTAAGGGACCCGGGAGCTGAAGATGTTTATCCCCTAAAGAAATGGGAATTTGCAGTGGACGAAGCGTTTGAGACTCTAAAGTCACGCTATATCATCCACTTCGAGGTTGAAAGTGACAAATCTGCGATTCTAGAAGAAAACTCTTTCCTTCAAAGTGATAACTTAAAAATCTATTTTGAAGAACTAACATGTTTAACTGTGGTGGTTGGAGAACAAAGAGAAGTGGAGAAGATTTTAAAATTTCTAAGCGGCTTGCAGAACAAACAGCAGGTTCAAAAAGAGTGTTGCGTGTCTGAGAAACAATTTAACCTCATCAAAGAGGAGTTTGAGCCATACATAAAATCTAATTTACCTGCGCTTAAGATCACAAAGGAACGAGCAGGCGTTCTCCTAAAGGGTCCCGAGAAAGAGGTCCATGCAGGTGAAAATGAGCTTTTAAAATTAGCAAAAGGAATCAAAGAGAAGAGGATCCCATCCCATCATCCTCTTATGACCTTTTTGGAATCAAGTGGTGGTATACAGCACTTCCAAAACCGATTTCAGCAGAGCCTCCGCAGCCCAGTTATGCTCGAGACTTCAGGTTCAGATGTTCTTCTGTTGAGTCTGTCTGATGGAGCTCTACAGGAGGCGGCTGCTGCCGTGCAGAGAGACTTGTGTTTGGAGACTGTGCGCCTGGAAAATACTCAGAAATCTTCTGCATTTACTAAGCTGAAGGATTAGCAAAAGGAATCAAAGAGAAGAGGATCCCATCACATCATCCTCTTATGACCTTTTTGGAATCAAGTGGCGCTATACAGCACTTCCAAAACCGATTTCAGCAGAGCCTCCGCAGCCCAGTTATGCTCGAGACTTCAGGTTCAGATGTTCTTCTGTTGAGTCTGTCTGATGGAGCTCTAGAGGAGGCGGCTGCTGCCGTGCAGAGAGACTTGTGTTTTGGAAAATACTCAGAAATCTTCTGCATTTACTAAGCTGAAGGAGGATTTGAGCGAAGCCGTCAAGCAGGCCAATCACAAAAGTGTTAAAGTGGCGCTTAAATACCAGGATGAATCAACTTCTGACCCCAAGGTTCAACTTGTGGGCTACACACCTGAAGTCAGTAAGCTGAAGAACATTGTGCTGGTATACAAAAGAAACCATCAGATCCATCATGCCTCCCTGCCTCTTCCCAGTCCAGAGATGGCAGAGCACTTCTCTGAGATCTTGGCAATTTGCGGCATGAAGAAGAGCAGTGTGGAAATAAAGCCAACAAGTTCACCTTCCCCATGCGTCCACCTCACGGGACCTCGCTGTGAAGTTGAGAGCTTGAAGGACAGCCTTGAGTCATGCCTTCAGAGGCTTGCCACTAAACGATGTGAGGTGAAAGGACCTGGAGTTCAACAGTTTTTTCAAAGTGAAGGTGCAAGGATCTTGCAATTGGTGAAGAATTCTTATATGGTTGGGATACTGCCTATAGATGATAAGCAGAAAAGAGGTAAAGAACCCAAATACATGAGCAGTCTCAATCTTCAGAGCTCACCATTTACGTCTGCAGCTTCCCAAGACTCTCTGGACTCTGACAAAGAGATAGACATTAAAGTTGTGGTTGGTAGCCTTGAACAACAGCAGGCAAGTCTTCAAATTACTTTGTATTTATATGTTATACCTCTCAAACAGAACTATTGAGTAACTTATGTGATTCATATAATTAATACAGGCAGATGTGTTTGTTGCTCCGATGATTCAAACAAACATGACCTCAACTTTGATTGGATCATCCCTGTTGAATAAAGCAGGACAACAGCTTCAAAATAACTTCAACAATGCAAAGGGAAAGCACAAGCTTAAGCCTGGAGAAGTGCTGGAGGTGGACGCAACACCAGCGTTGGGATGCTCCATGGTTTTCTTTGTGGAATGTGCGCCCAAAGGAAACAAGCACAAAAGCGAAAAGGTATGACATTAAAAAAGGAGAAAATATTGAATGGATGGGATTTACAGAAAACAATAATATAGTATTTATTCATTTTATTTATAATGCGCTTTTCTGAAACCCAAAGCGCAACAAACAATAGCAAATAAAAACAAATAGAATACTGAAGTTCAAAAATAATACAATACAAGGAAACTATAAGTCATAAAATAATCATTACAGTACAACACAATAGAATCATGACAGTAATGAGGCGCCAAACAGGAAATAATTATGTAAATTCTGAATATATAAATGTAAACCTAAATATATAAACTTAAAATGTGAACATACAGTTATAACCACGAATATATAGAAGTACATCTGAATATATTAATGTAAAGCTGAATTTATAAATGTAAATCTGATTAAGTACATCTGAATATAAATGTAAATCTGAATATACAGTTATAATCAAGAATATATACACTGTAAAATCCAATAGTTTACTTTACTTAGATTTAATTAGTAATCTTTACTTAGTTGTTATACTTACTAGGTTTTATTAAGTTACAGCTACTTTCAAGGGAAATAAAACAATTTACTTTTGAGAGAACATCACATAAGCTAACTTCATAAATTGATGTTGATTTTCCTAAAATGTTTTTTTTTTAATTCACCATTATAGTGATTAGCGTTCCCTTTGGTTGGGCACTTGGAACTTGAATTACGTTACTATAATTTTCTTCCTGTTAATGCAGCAATGCATCATAAAGTCAGAGTTATTTGATTTCAAGGGAAGAAAAGTAATAAATAGGTTGCTATTAGAAAATGATCAATCTTCTAATTAAAGCATTAGTGAATTTATTGTGTGATTATTAATGAACTTTTTCAAATTTCATTATTCATAAAATACCTTGAGATGATCTTAATTGGATTTATATAATCCTTAAATAGTTAGTTTAATTATCCTTAAATAATTTTCATTAATTGTAACAATAACCATTTTATTTGCTCTTTTGTTGTGCTACTACTGACACAAGACAGCAAATAAAATTGGCAAATAAAATTAACAACTGTAACACAAAGCAACCGTATAATTTA